ACTGGCTAGCTGGTTTAGTAAAATAAAAAAAAAACAAAAAACCAAAAAAACAAAACAACAACAAAAAACAGGATCCAGGGTCAGTAAGAGCCTTTATCTAAAAAATTAATGTGGGGATCAATAGAGATTGCTGTCTGAAGCCAAACTCTGGCCTCCACAAGTATATCTGTAGTTTTATGTACCTGCCCACATACCTACACATGTATGCATACCACACGTACAAAGAATAAACAGCTAGGTGTGGTTCATACCTACTGTAATCCCAGGACTTGGGAGGTAGAATTCGAGTCTTGCCTGGCTACATGAGCTCTTATCTCAAAAGTAAAAACTAAGGGCAGGTATGGTAACTAGCTCACACAATCCCAGCCCCGAGAACTCAGGTCCTCACTCACGCTTGTACAGCAGACACTATATCCACTGAGCTGTCTCCTCAGCTCCTCTGGCTTTGAATTTTTTAAGACAGGGTCTCATTATGTAGCTCTGGTTGTCCTGAAACTCACTATGTAGACTTGAACTCACAGAGATCCACCGGCCTCTGCCTCCTGGGTGCTGGGATTAAAGGCATGCACCACCATGCCTGGTTTTGGCTGCCAATTCTTATGTTTAATTTTTCCTTTTCAAATTACTGTAAGGTTCCTTCATCCTTATTGAGCTTAAACTGATTCACTTTGCTAGTCTGAGGCTAATGCGGGCTACAAATTTAAGAAGCTAACAATACAGAAGATTAGAGAATTGGGTGTTGAAGGACTGGCTAGATGTAAAAGTCATTTAGTATACAAAAGAAGTAAAGGGAACTCTGAAAGAATGTCTGAGTAGCAGGTTAGTATAAAATCGTGGATATGATAAACATAATGTGCCACATCCAGTGCCCCTAGGACTGTGATGACCTCCCTTCAAGCCATAACTGAGGCCCAGGTCTTGCTAGAGATCTTGAACTATGCTGAGCCAGTAGAGTTGGGTGGCCATCTGTGGTCTGCAACCTCCTGAAAATACAGTCCTCTGGGGTGCTTGTTCACAATGGGGGGGTGTCTCACTAGGGACACTTGACTGCAGAACCACCCAAGGGTAAGGTCAAGGAAAACTGCTCCCCACCGTACATCAGAGCAGCCAGAGCTACAGAAGGGAAACGTGAAGAAAGCTGGCGGCCCAGCGAGAGCCTGTGGAGTGAGGAAGCCCTTCTTCTCCTCATTATTTCTCCTTCATCCGTCAGTGGTAACACGTAACACCGTGCCAGCTGGTAAAGCAGAAAGGATTTGAAAATGCCAGGTGCATTTGCAGAGAGAACAGGCCTAAAGGCAGTCTGAGAACTGAGGAACTTTGTGGACATGGTGTTGGATTGTTCCTGTGGATACTGAAACCAACCAGATATTGCCAGGGCCTGGAACGGAGTAGAAGCTCAGGAGCCATGCTACTTCTTTAAGTGCAACCTTGGTCTGCCCACATCCTAGGCAAGTGGAGGACTCTACTGCCGGGCTTCCGAGCTAGAATATCCGGACATAGTTCCACCAGATCTTTGTTTTAGCAAGTGCCCCAACAGACTCGTGGTTAAAATAATAAACCACCTGTGACTATTTCAACTGCATAAAAGTAAAGAAACTGGTGTAACAGGTCCCAGTTTTCCTATTAGCCAGCTTTAATGTGTGTTCATGTATGCCTCATTTCCTTTACGTCTTTTTTGTTTCTAACTAGCTATTTCAGCTCAAATTCTACCCCCATTCCTTTTCTCTGTTGCAACCAGGAGGTTATCATCCTCCACATTCTTGTTTGTCAATCACTGCTGCAGGCAATGGAAAGCCTTTGAAGGGTTTTATCTGTCTTTCTCTCCCCTCCAAAGGGTTTCACATAACCCAGGCTGGCCACAAACTTGCTATACAGGCAAGACTGGTCCTGAATCCCTGATCTTCCTGCCTCTACCTCCCAGGTGCTGGGATCACAAGTTTGGACCATCATGTCCAGTCTCTTTGAAGGAGTTGTCTGGTAAAGTGGGATTTCCCTGGAAGCATAAAAACAAAACAGAGCCAAACTACTTAAGTTGGATCTTCTGGAGTATTCACCAGAATAGGAGGAGGTAGGCAAAGCTTTTAGCAGGTAGATTCAGTGAGGCATCGGGTGTGATGTTAGAGTTTTGCTTTTTGTCCTTGTGCCCTTCTGGGAAGCGTGTTGTGTTCCCGTGACCTCTAGTACCTGCCCTCTCCTTATTTCCCAGCTCATCAGCTCGTTTCTTGTCTTTACCTGCTTCCCAAGCCAGCCCGGGCTCCATGGTTACTCACTTACCTGGAAGCTTGCCTGCCCTGACATCATTCTGTAAATAAGTCCAGCTTTCAAATCTGAAGGTTAACAACTGTTTCTCTTGCCTTGCTGTGCTGGCTTGTGCCCTCTCAGGGTTTCCTTGATCACTTACAGTGATATGCTATAGATAAATGTTTAAACTGAGGTAGAAAGCAGGGAGTGATGGGACACATCTATCCTCCACTAAAGACACTAGGGCAGAAGGATTACCAGGAATTTGCAGCCCACCTGGTTTACATTGTTGAGTTCCAGGCTAGCCAGGGCTATACACTGAAACCTCATCTCAACAAAACAAAAAGCAAAACAAGGCAGATTTCTAGCCAGGCGATACTGGACACAAGCCCACTTTGGACTAAACTATATTCCTGAAATGACTCCGGCTCGGCCCATCATTCTAAGATGTTAGGAGTACCTCAATAATACTAGCCAGCTTTTGTTTGCTCGTGGAGTAAAATTTCCCCGAGCAATGGTGATACTCTCCAAAGTGACACACAACAGCTCAGGTCTAGGAAGGAAACTTATCAACAAATGGGTTCTGCTTATTTCTTTTACATACATTTGGCCATGGGTCAGAAACAATTAAAATTTTGATTGACTATGCTTATTTTACTTATAAATACAACAAGCTAAAAACACAGAGGTAGTATCTTCATTACAGAACTCTGGATAGACCCAACATCATTACTGAATCTTAAAATGTTGGTGTTAAGAAACTACAGAACATACTGAGGCAGGTAAGCTCAGGGAGTGACGTAAAAACACGAGACTCTACTTGGCTTGGACTGTGTACACCTTCTTTGCTAGCAATGCATCTAATAACATGTTGACAACCCGGGACCCCCGCCTTCTTTAGGCTGCACATTTCCTGCCTTAAACAATGGGAATGGCACTCTCTTCAGCAACATTTTGATAATGTCTGATAATCAGGTGCCCTAGAGTATCCTCCCTCTTTTGGTTGCTATCAATCTTGATAGTTTTTCTTTTGATTTGTACTGATGCTACACTTTGAATTAAGTTTCCTTGATGCTTTCACAGTATATGTGAGCCTTTAGTTTAGTTCCTTGATTGAGAAACCAAGAAGCTGGAAACATCTGGGCTAGATTATGACCATCAGTAGCACTAGTATATTGTATAATTCCCTCTATGCAAGATCCTTTAAAATATAAGCTAACATAAAGGGACTGAAAGCAGATGGGCGCTTGCTTGTGATGTGGAGAAAAGGGAGAAAAATAGGAGTTGAAAGGGCACATGCACACTTTTGAGACTGATAGAAAAAGTTCATCTAGATCAGTGGTTCTCACCCTTCCTAATGCTGTGACCCTTTAATATAGTTCCTCATGTTGTAGCAACCCCCAACCATAAAGTTATTTTCATTGCTACTTCATAACTGCAATTTTACTACTGTTATGATTTATAATGTAAATATCTGCTATGGAGGGTATCTAATATTCCACCTCTGTGAAAGAGTTGCTTGACCACCAGAGGGGCTGTGATCCACAGGTTGAGAACCACTGATCTAGATTGTGTGTGACTATAGCTAAATAAATTGGCCTGGAGCTATAGCTCAGTTGGCAGAGTGCTTGTCTAGCATGCACAAAGTCCTGGGTTCAATTCCAGACACCCCATAAAGTGGGTGTAATGCTGCATGCCTATAATCCCAGCATGTGGGAGATGGAGGCAGAAGGATCAGGACTTCAAAGCCCGCCTCAGCCACAAGGAACTATCCCTATCACTCTCACCATCCAAAAGCAGGAAGAGGGGCTACAAGAAAAGGACTGTGAGACTTAGCAGGAAACAGCTATAATTAACTGGATGCCTCCCATATGTAGGAGAGATACTGATGGCAAATGTTGTACATTTGCCAACATAGAGCTGCACAGTTAAACTTATATGTTTGCCTTATATGTTTTTTATGGTATGACTGTTTTACCTGGTGCCCAAAACGTTTGAGAATAACAGACCCCCCCCTCTTGGTCATACTACAGAGAAATTTATGATAATAATACCTCTTCTGGGTTTATGACTATTGCTTGTTGTCAGGTCACCATGAAGAGTGTTTGCTGCTGGAGACAAGTGAATTTTTCAGTCTGTAGTGTAGACAGAGAGAGAGAGAGAACAAGTGCTCTTTTGTTCTCAAGTGCTCTGTGTCTAAGCATATTTCCCTCATTTTCTGCTCTGTGTCTGAGTCTTTGCTAAGGCTACTGCAGCTGGACTGTGGAGTGGAACCAGGTCCAGAAAAAGAATTGCTAAAGAATGCGAGTAAACAGGATGGCAGATGTTATCCTTAGCCTATTTCCCTAAACATAGCTTTTTGGCTACACAGTAAAATGCCATTCTTCCAGCTTCTGCTCATATGCAGTGATGGCTGACAGCAGGGACAATCTTCGTTTGCTTGGCAAGTTGTCACCATGTGACTTCACGTGTTTTGTAAGGAAGGAGTGATCGTGACACACAAAAACTCTGTGAGATTGTCTGAGGACATCTGGCTAGTTCTGGGAGGAATTTTCTCAACCCACCTAAGTCTTTGAGCTCTGTTTTACCAGCACAGTTCCCCACGAGGCTCAAAGCTGTCTGACCTAAGAGGCAGTTGGCATCTTCGTCCTGACAGAAGCCAGATTTTTCACTGGGGCTAGACTGTATTGACAGTGTTTTCCCTGTCTGCCCTATGCGTGTCTCATTTCCAAGGTTCTCTGCAGTGCTGGCTCACTCCGGCTCCACAAGCACTTAGTTACTTTTCTGCCTCCCCAGCATCCTCTTCACTTCCTTTCCTTACAGCTTCTTGCACTGGTGTGTGTGTTCCTCCTTTAAAAAAACCCTAATGAATTTGTTTTTCAGCGATGATGTTATCCCAGGAGTTTGTCCATTCCTTATTCCTTATCATCCCTCTCCATATCTTTGAGTATGATCTCTGTGGTTTAGAAATCCCACGTTCCACTGTTGTTAAAGAAAAGTTGCCTTAAACCTTTGCCCTGCAAGCACCAGAAGAGAGCTCATAAAAAGGAAGACAGCAGCAGATGCAATCACGGATGTGGCTTAGTCCTCGCAGCTGCCCCGGAGAGCTGTTCAGAGTGTACGAGCCCCAGTCATGAATCCAGAAGAACGCGTTGTGACATGGCTTATATCTTTGGGAGTTTTAGAATCTCCCAAAAAGACTATCTGTGATCCAGAGGAGTTTCTGAAGTCCTCCTTGAAAAATGGGGTAGTGTTGTGTAAACTCATCAACAGACTTCTGCCTGGTTCGGTGGAGAAGGTAAGGTCGTTTTGCAGTGTCTTTGGGATTGCTTTCGACCATGGAGCGGCACTAATATTATTCTTGAGATTTTTTTCTGTTGCTGGGTCATGGGAATCCCCTACTTCAATATCTTTCTAAGAGTTAGGCATTCTTTCTTACTGTCCTTGTACTTTGAAAAAGTCAGAAAAATGAAATTTTAGCCTTCAGTAATTGGCCTCCAAATGTTACCCTACTAAAAACCTGTTACACCACTGGCAATCCAGGATGGGAGGACATGCTTATCATGCTGTGTTGTAGAGATGAATGTTAAACTTCCCTGTGCACTCCGGACATATTTTGAACTTTGGGTACATGAGTCTGTGGAATAATTAAATAATTTGCTGTAGATCTTTCCAGTGTTTGGGAGTTTGTCCAAAAATTGATGCAGACTTCCTTCCTTAAAAAAAAAATCCATTGAAGAAAAATCTGTTCACAGAAGACAATGTTACATAAAACTCACAAAAAACAAAGAGAAACCAAGTGTATGCAATGAACATGCAAAGTGAAACTAAACCTTGCTAAAAAATCCCAAGATTTTTGAGGTTAGACGCTCATGTTATAACAATGGATGGCTTCTAAAGTAGGCACTTTCATGGAGTTAAAGGGAGAGTTCTTATGATTCTTTCCTCAAAGTTATTGTGGGATGTGACTGTAATTAAGGTTTCTTTTGTCTTTTGGAATCAGTTCTATTTTTATTGAACAAGTGTATTTGCTTATAATTTCTTAAATTGGAGAAACAGTGGTTAAACTGGTGGTAATGTGGGGAGTGATATGATAAAATGTAGTGTCCAGCCAAAGTGAAATATAATATCAACAAATTATCATGAGGCGTAGAGGCAGGTAAGCAGTGTGGCCTCTTCTAATGAAAGCAGGAACTAATATATATATTAAAAAAAATATATATATATATCTTAGTCTCTCCAGTTTGCTATGCCCATAACTGACTTGAGGGTACGAGGAAACCTTTTTAAGTAGAAACAGCTTGCAGATGTTTGAAACAAAAATCAACCGTTTAGGCATTTGCATCACTTCCTTTAGTGGTTAATTCTCTTCCTGGATGGAGAGCAGGGCTGCCCTCTGCCTTCAAAAGCCAACCATATCTAGTTATCTGCAAATGATGGTGATCGTTTGTCATGGCTTAGCAATGTCTAAGTGACTCCATTTGACTCTTTCTCTAGTATTGTCTGGAGCCCCAAACTGAGGCGGACTGCATCAACAACATCAATGACTTCCTGAAAGGATGTGCAACCCTTCAAGTGGAAGTAAGCTAACCCGACTTGCCTTTCATTTTGCCACTATTTTCTGCTCTGTTAATAAAAAAGTCCGTGAAAAGCATACGATTGATTTTCACTGCCAGTAGCCACAAAGATAAACAGAAGTGACCCTTTAGAAAATCCAGAGTTGAGACTGGTGATCCCCAGTGGTGTGTTGTTTGTGTGTGTGCGTCTTTCGGAACCTGATTCTAAACAAAGCAAAATCATTAACTGGGCATGGCAGCACACACCTATAATCTGCAATACTAAGGTAAGGAAGGCAGGAAGATCAGAAGTTCAAGGCCATCCTTGGCTATACATTTAAGTTTGGAGCCAATTTGGACTACATGAAACTCTAAAAAGCAACAACAAAAACAAAAAACAAAACCAGAACCAAAAGGGAAAGAAGAAATAATAACAAAAAAAGCAAAAATGATGACTTTTAAATGTAGCTTCTCTTCGAGTGACCAAGTGTTTTGTGGGTGTGCTTCCTTGTTAACGGGGGAAAATCGAGTCACTGCCTAGAGTAGAGGGTCTCAGCAAACTGCATTAAAATCATTTACAACAGAAATGGCCCAGTGCCCAATGGTCAGCCCCAAAAACATAATACAAGCAACATTATACTGACTGAGGAGGTTGTATTTAAGGGTATATGTGTATCTGCATACACATATATACATGTAGTAACATATATACATATACATATAGTAACAATTAATTGAAAAAGAGGCTATGAATTTAAAGGAGAGTGGGGGAGAGGTATGCAGGAGGATTTGGAGGGAGAAAAAGGAACAATAAAAATGAAAGAAAGAAAGGAAGGAAGTTAGAAAGAAAGAAAACCTTGAGAAAAAAAATCAGAAAAAGACATGGCTCTTTTGCTCCCATTTTAACACTTTGGAGCAGAGGGAGTCCTTTTGGCCTTCGTGTCAAAATTGTATTTAAGCAGAGCAGGAGATGTAGATCAATAGTAGAGGCTTGCTTGCAATGCACAAGGCCCTGGATTCAGTCCCCACACCAAAACAAAAACAATGAGTAGCAATATGAAAACCCTAAACCACATTAAACTACATTGCTTGAGGAAGTCTATTGCATGCATACATTGCATTACTGAGAAAGAGTGCAGCACTTCTGTGTGTGCCAAGTTGCTTTTCTGTGCATCATGTTGTTTTTGTGGTGCAGGGATTGAATCCTCGTCTTCATGGAGCCTCACCTTCATGCCTCTCCTAACGCTTTTGTTTGTGAAATAGACATAACACTAACAACCTCGTGATGTTGTTTCGGGGTCTAGTGAGATATTGCTTAATTATGTAGGCTTAAGAAAGTCAGTGTTCTAAAATGTGTGAGATAATTTGTGTGTTATCTTCAGCTCAGGGCCAGGTCAGAGGTGCTCTGTGTTAGTAAACAAGTATTATCCATGGGCAAGCGGCAGGGGTTGGAGCGTGGAATCTGGCGCTAGACTTCTTGGGTTTAAATCTCAGTATATACTCACTGGTGACATTACAACCTTTCAATCTGTTATTTAACTATGCTTCTATGCCTTGGCCTCTCCACCTATAAAATAGGAACAATTGTGGCACCTGCCTGTCTATTGATATTGGTATGAAATTTCAATGAATTAATACATGTAAAACCCTGGGAAGAGAGATACTGGGGCATATTATTCAAGTAGTCATTTATTATTGCTGTTACTATTATTATCTTTATTAGCTGTTGTCTCAGCTAAACTCTGTTTCCTTCAACACTTTTCTTAAAGCTAGCTGGGTGTAGTGGTACAAAACTTTAATCTCAGCACTTGGGAGGCAGAGGCACATGGATCTCTGTGGGCTTGATGCCATTTTGGTCTGTATAGATAGTTCCAGGCCAGCTAGGGCTACAATGTGAGACCTTGTCTGGAAACCAGTTTTTTTTCTCTTGAAGCTAACCCTAATCTAAAGCTACATCCGTGTCAGAACGTCTTATTCCAATCTTCCCTACTTCCTAGTCTGAGTGACTCCCTCATCCATCTTGAGGTTCACGGTCCATGTGGCTTCAGAACATGTGATATCATTATAGGATGCTGTCTGCTGTGGAACAGACCATGACATTTCTTGTTTGATTTTTCAAATAAAAACATGCTGAAGTTGCCAGTGATTTCTGTGCTGAAGCTGCCAGAAGGTGTACTGTGATTCTTTGCCGTTCTAAGAATACTGGATGATACAGAAACACCTCCTGCTGCTCCACTGCTGGGGACTTTCTGATAGCTAAAGACTATTCCTTTAAGCACAAATGCTTAGAATAGTCTTTTTAAACAAATCAGAAAACTTTTTATCTGATTTAGGTAGAAATTTTACTGAAAAGTACATCAGACTAACATGATATGAACATAGTAATAAAAGAATATCTGACATTGTGATTATCATGTTCCTGCTGTAGCCTCATAGATCTCCCTCTCTCTGTCTCTCTGTCTCTCTCTCTCTCTGTCTCTGTGTGTATGTGTGTGTGTGTGTTTAGTGTGTAGGCTAGAGTCAAAGTTGGTGTCTTCTATTTCTCTCCAGGTTACTCAAACCCTTTTGGAACAGTCTAGATCTTGTATATGTACAGTTGAGTGTTAGAAAGTTTTCTCTCTCTCTTCCCCCTTCTCTCTTCCCTTCTTTCAGAGATAAAAATCTCTCACTGACTCTGCAGCTTGCTGTTTTGGATAAACTGGCTGGCTGGTCAACAAGCCCCCATCCTACCAAGCAGCATTTCACTGGGATTGTAGGCGGTTGTTGACACGCTCAGCTTTTACATGGGTGCTGGGGACCCAAACTTTGGTCCTCGTGTTTTTACAGCAAGTATTTTACCCCTGGAGCCATCTCCCTAGCTCTGTGTGTTAGAACCTTTCTTCATAAAGTGACTTGGCATCATTGTACTCCTGTTTTGTTTTCTTATCTGTGTGCTAGGGACTAACGATATTTACTACAGAGGACTTTAGAACACACACACACACACACACACACACACACACACACACACACACACACACACACACACACACACACACAGAGTCACTGGATGTCCTGTCTTCAATGTATGTGTGCCTGGTACCTGCAGAGGCGAGAAGAAAGCATCAGGTCTCCTGAAACTGGAATTGCAGATGATTGTGAATTGCCATGTGGGTGCTGGAAATTGAACCTGAGTCCTATCTATGCTAGAGCAGTCAATGCTCTTAACTCCAGACTTACTGAAGAAGACTCTCAAATCGTTTTTTAAAGTTAGCATTCAGTGTGGTAGCTTTCATTACCGAGAACTATTTATGGGTGGAATGAAAGACTGCATCTACAGCTCTTAATGTAGCATTTCATCTAAACCCTAGTCCTGCTGCTTACTGTTACCTTGTGACTAAGTGCTCTTTGTACTGTTATGCACAAAACTGAGTCACGCACAGAGCCCTCGGGGAAGGCACATAGAATCAGCCCAGAAGGAATGAGACTGAAAGCTGAGCTGGAAAACACGGAGCAGCCAAGTATGTGGCCAGTCCAGTCTCCAAGCTTCCCGGCAGCTGAAAAACAGACCTGGACAGAAGTATTTGCAAAGGTCACGAGAGAGACACAGAGGTGGGGGATCTCACAAAGTACTTAGAACAGTGTGTGGCGCAGGGTATGCCTGCTGGGTCTGAGTTAACTTTGTAAAGCTCTAAAGGTATGAAAAGCAAGAAGAGGGCTTGACTCTTTCCCCGAGCACACAATCATTTATCTGAAGAAAGGTTACCAGTTTGAATCAGGAACGCTGACTCAGAGAGGTGGTGACTGAGTATTGGGTTCAGAGGTATGGGGACCACATTACAGGTTTGTGATCACCTGGCCTCCCCAGATGTCCTCTATCTTCTGTTGACTGTGGGTATGAACATTTAGGGTGTCTACTGGTTCATACAGCTAATAACAGAGAAATCTGGAAAATAAAAACTCATTGTAACTTTCATACTACCATTTGAGACTTTTTAAAATTTGGATGAAGACAGATTTATTTTTTATTTTTGTGGGTGCATGTACGTGTGCATGTGTCAGTGTGTCTGCCACTGTGTGTGTGTGTGTGTGTGTATAGGTCAGAGAGTATCTTTCAGTAATTAATTCCTCTGCCTCGTCAAGGCAGTGTCTGTCACATTTCTGCTGTTGTGCTGTGCCCTCCAGGCGAGCTTATCTGAGAGTCCGCCCAGTAGTGTTCTCATCTTACTGTAAGAGTACTGGGATTGCAGATGTTCACCAAGACATCTGGCTTTGTTTTTTTTTCAATTAAAAATGTATTTTATGTGTATGGGTGGTTTGCCTCCTTGTATGTTTGTGCACTACTTGCGTGCCCAGTGTTCACTGACTGTAGAAGAAAGTGTCAGATCTCCCGGAACTGTAGTTACAGGAGGTTGTCACCCACCATGTGGGTATAAGGGATTGAACCCAGGTCCTCTGTAAGAGCAGTCAGCGCTCTTAACTACTGAGCCATTGGGTTCTAGACATGCAATTCAGGTTGTCATACTTGCTCAGCAAGCATTTTCACCCATTGAGCAATTTCCCCAGCTCTCATCTTTTTTTTTTTTGACTTTTAGTGTCATCTGAGAAACATTCCCAAAATCAAAGGTCATGAGTAGCTGTGTTTTCCTCTAAGAATGTTGTCACAAATGGAGGTTCTTTTCTTCTCCTATGTGGGTTTTTGGGATTGAACTCAGGCTTGGCAGCAAATGACTTCACCCACGGGGCCATTTTACTGGTTCCAAGTTAATTCTTCTAGATGTGGACATGTAGTTTTCTAATTACCAATTCTTGAAAAGACTACTTTTCTTTCCTTTAGCTGATTAACGTAGCTTTGTAATAGCTTTTAAAGTCAGAAAGTGTGAGTCCTCCAACTTGTTTTTTAGTTTCAAAATCATTTTGGAATACTCTAGATCCTTGAATGTATGGATGAGTTTTATATCATCTGCCTGTATTTCCTTTTCTATTTATCCATCCATCCATCCATTTTTTTTTTTGGTTTTATGAGACAGGGTTTCTCTATATTGT